CGATATGGTAGTTGAAAAACACTTCGTTTACTTATTATAGCTGTTTTAAAGTGGCCAACTTGAAACGACCATAAAGTAAAATTCGTGTTATGGCATTTGTAGAAATAACCAGAACGCATTCTGGTAATTTATTTATTAAAACACAACACGAATACGACTCGTTTAACAACATCTGAATCGTTGTAAAGAGCATGAAAAGGATTTTCTGCTTTATTTCGTCACTGTGAATAAGACTTGAGTCTACGAAGATGATTTTGAATCAAAAGCAGTGTGACCCCAACTCTTTTGCAATTAGCTTGAGTCCACGAATCAGTCAAACAAGTGAAGTAAAAAGAATTCTATTTGTAGAGATTAACGAATTATAGATTTTAATTGTACACTTTAAAGAATTTTTATTTGTAGATTTAAACTGACAAAACAATTAACTTAGAAACGCGGACGTACAGAAACAGGCTTATATTATTATTTTGTAATATATAAGTGCGAATGGGGATAGAGTTCTGTAGGGCTAAATATATACCTTTGTGTTTTTCCGGTGATTAGCCTTCACCGTGTCCGGGTACTGTCATTAAGCAATACACTGAGGGCATGGGTCGATAACCACGTAAATGGTTATGCAGCCATGACAGTGACAAAGTTCCATTTAGTAGATAACTGGAGGTTTGGACACTAAAAATATACAAATTCTATTTTATTATAGTAAGTTTTAGTAATAAAACTATGACTTTAAATGAAACAATCAATATACGTCAATTTTGGGTTCCTCTAATTTCTAACTATTCTCACTCCCTAAAAATTTGTTGTGTTGTTAATTTTTGGCAAGCGAAAAAGTACTCTTTCCGTAGTGAGCTCTTTTGTAGATCTTTGACACACATAAACACATAATACAATACATAATTGCGATCCATATATTGGATGTTCATTGGAATAAGAATATTGAAGTTAAAGTGAGATATAGTGAAAAATATAGAGGTTTTTTTATCTTAAAATCGATGTATCCATGCCTGTTTCGCGAAATAATGGAAGAACTGAAGTAATTGTAATAAATATAAATTATTCTCTCAAACACCGCATTATTAAGAGATGAATACATAGAAGCAAAATTGAAAAAAGAAAGCAGATTTTACTTATAATAGGTGATAACCACAGAACCACTTTATCTATTGTATTGCACTATTTACTGTTCAAACTCAAAAGATTTATTCGAAGTTTGAATAGCAAATAGGGCAACTCAAAATATTCTTGATTGAGTGTTTAGCCGTCGATATTCTCATTCATCACAGCGACATTCAAGTACAGAAACCACGCTTAAGTGTGAAATCGAAACATGACGGCATCAAGATTCCATTATCATTATCATTGACAATTAAGTGCTGCTCCAAAACTTTCTTACTGCTTCCAAAGAGTGCTAATTCAGAAAACGAAGAAGCTATCCATATTAATCCACGTCTTTCATTCAAAAACATGATGGTTAAAGATACCTTAATCAATATACCTTAATAGATGACCTGCTTAAACACAATAAATGAGATAACTTAATATGAATAAATTTATAGTAAAATTCATTTCTCAAACGAAATCATGAAGGTTAAAGAGCAACTCAAATCAATAAATATCCGTCAATCTGATTTATATGATTTAGCATTTTTTTTCTACTAGAGACATGATGATTCTCCTAGGTTTCTTTGCTTCTTACCATTAACAAAGAAAGGTATATTTACTTAAATTACTAAAGTTTACTAAAGTAAGTATACTTATAACTTATTTTTATAATTCTATAAGAAAACATATGGACAAATATAAAACATTACTATTGATTTAAATTGGATTTAAGTTTGAATTCAATCTAACTCAGACTACAGATACTGTAGAAAAGAGAGAGAAATTGCATACCATGTGAGTATGCAATTTCTCTCTTGGGCAATACCCGCCATTAATACTCAAGCGGAAGAAACACCTATGAAGGTATTTAATGCATCACATAAGGACCCAGGACTAGGAAAGATAGGTACTACCTATACTGTCTTTCATTAAACAAATCGGACTTAGAAAAACACTCTATTCCGACTAAGGGACACAATAGATCTTTTAGAACCCAGTACACGAACCCTACTTCACAATAATAATAATAATAATCGATTTAAATTATGTTCTTACCTTGTAAGCAATATAAGTCGGATATCAGTTGTGGTTTCTTTTGCAGAATCTGAGCACATCTGACAAATTTCTCTAATTTCAAAGCTTGCCTAGCTAAATTTCTACAATTTAAATAAAATGTTAATAAATATTAAAAAGAAGCTAATAATTAGGTTTTATGTAAAATATTCGAATATTTTCGAACTTACGTTCTTGGCAATTCATTTACATTGCAAAGAAGACCACAAAAAATGTCCAACAAAACATATTTTGATTCCAGTACTGGAACAAATAACTGCCGCAACTTGCAGTGTCTTAGCAGTTTTAGGGCCACTAAAAGTAGAATTATCTGTTATTAGACATATAAGACACATATAATTAACTCGTATTTACATATTTTCCTTTTTCGAACATTTAGAACAACACCAAGGAAACCTTTCCGTATATCTGAATTCACTAGATCGATGATCTTGCTTAGCTTCTTCTTAGCTCTTTTTGCAGACATAAGGATATCATGTTCCACTACATCCATAATTCTGTGGTGGTGCAAAGTCAAAAATAAATTCATTATTATATTAGTTAAAAGTACAAAAAAAATTAATAAAATATTAAATAAATATTTGTATATGATAATAAAATTTAGAAATACTCTTAAACCCGAAACTTAATACATACTTAAATTAACTAATTCCGTTTTGGAATTATACAAAATTTACTACAAGCCCACTCAAAACTTTATAAAACGTTCTATTTTTGAAAATATTAAATTGGTTTCAAAAACGTATATGTCACTATTACTATATGTCACTATTTGCAAACTATTACAAACAATTTCCGAAACACTACTCTCATTATTAGTAGTGTTCTTCAAGAACACTACCGAAGATTTTCGGCAGTGTCATAGATGTCACTTTTAGGTATCTATCTTAACTCTACGTTAATTTGGAATTATCAAATGCTTGCGGTAAGATCTCTGCTTTGTTATTTCACCTCATTTGGTGGAAATATGGTACAAAATAAAGTAGCAATGTTTAGCATTTCGTATTATCATTTTATTACGAATAAAAATAATCACAATCCAAGAAGTCTATTTCCGTTTTTCGGTAGCAGCAGTATTATCAATGTATGTAGTGTTTTTTAAACTTATTACCCTATATTAGATTTAGTGTTCTTAAATGTTAGTGACATCTGCTCTCTGTCTTGATATCTCACCTCATTTTGTGAAAATTAAACTAAAAATAGGTTTTTATATTTTCATTTTATTATGAATATAAAAATAATTATATTTATAGTCTGAGGAGTTTATTCTCGTGTTTTGGTAAAAGCAATTTTGCCGATGTCACTGTTTTGTATTTTTGTTAGCGAATATTTAATTCGGTATTCACTTCAATATATATGATCAAAACTGAATCTCACCTCATGGTGAAAGTGAATTTAAACTAGTCATGTGTAGGTTTTTGTAGAATATTTTCTTTTTATTCTGGTTATAACATAATTATGAAAATAGTGCGAGAAACAAAATAAATAAATAAACACTCATTGGTACAATTATAATTATTAATTAAAATTTTACAAACAAATCTATTGCATGTTTACTAATTAATTATTTATTAACAAATTGTTCCTTCAGGAACAAATAGAGTATAATGATTTATGAACAAATATTAACAACAAATAATAAAAATAATAAATAAGTAATTATGTTTCCTTTACAAAATTTTAGTAATAGGACCAATAAGTATTTTGGACAATAACAAGTAATTAATATATATAAAAAGTTTTTGCTATTATTATACTAGGACAACCTTATGTTAAGGTCGAACAAAACATGGGCTTCAATCAATTAATACAATTAAAACTTACTAGGAATTATAATATAACACTTAACGTAAGTGATCTCTTCTGCGAAAGCTGCTAGCTCACCTGACTACGGAACCAGAAATACGACTTCTAACGATTTGTAAGAAAATATTAATAACCCAATAAGTCAGAATCCATGTACCACTACTCCTCACGTGTGCTCATATCATCTCTGTGGTAGTTTTGGTAAATTGTGGTAACTTACATTAAATTCAACTCAAACTAATTAACCGTAAGTAGTCTTCCCTTCTATAATTTTTACATCAATCATAATCATTTTGTGTTTTATAACCTCAATTCTTTTTTGAATATGAATGGAAATCAATATGGCAATGATATTTCTAAAAACAATTTATTTTCTGATTTTCTCACTGAATCATATAAATTCTAGGAAAAAGCATTCTTTTACCAAAATTCTGTGATTACAATACAAAAAAAAACTAGATTAATGCTAATATGTTATGAATTTACTAATTAGTAAAAATAAAAACTTTTTGATATTGTGTTTAATTACCTGATGCTACCAAATTGTTGCCGATTCTCCAAAAAGAAGAAGATGTACAAAGATTTATCCAACTATATTTTCTCTTTGAAGCAGTCAAACGCCAATATCGTCAATTTTTTTTAAATTCACACTGCCCGCGCCAGCCGAACACTTTACAAATGGCACAAAACAACAAATTGTCAAATTAGCTTCGTTTCGTGGTATACGAAAGACGTATAGATAATGCACTTCGTTATGCTTTATACTCAAATATTCTTATACACTTATAGTAAATATCTGACAAATATAATTTTCCAATACATATAAGACTTGTTCCTATACTTCGCAAGTAAAAATATAGTCCAAAGCATATTAAAAATAGCTACTTTAGTAAAATAAACATAATATTGAGAGAAAAGCTGCATTCAGCTGCATTGTTACTTATTTAAACTTTTTAATGTAAATAAAAATAATAACAAGAAAAAGTAAGTAACTGATATTTGAAGTAAGTATGTACGACAAAAAACAACAAGTTGCTGACCTATAGTGGCCGAAATGTACACAAAACAACAACACTAGTTTCTCTACTTAGGCCAGTATAGGTATACTGGCCACACACATCTACCAGTAAAAAAAAAGTGTTACCAAAGTAATAAACGAACTATTGTGAACCATAATTGGAAATTCCAACGAATATTGCAATCATATGTCAAAAATCATATGTAAACAAAATTCAAAAATTTCATAAATTTGAAAATTGAGAAAAAAGAAACATTTGAGTTTTATTTTGAAATTTTCAACATTTGTATCATTTCTTTTAATTCTGTATTAATTTTACTTTTCAATTTATATTAATTATTTATTTATTTTTATACAAAATGTAATTTGCTTGCATTATGCTATTTCTGCGTTTTGTCGAAACATAACACTTGACAGATTGCAACAGTGATACCAATGGCTCGCGAAGCCAATATAGGCCAGCATACTCCGAGCTACTCGTAGTAAAACAGAGTACAACACAAGTAAAGTACAAACTGATAACGTAACATAAATAAAGTGCCAAATTACGTTCTTCACACAGATTTCCATCGAACAGCTTTGTGTAAAATTTGGTGAGAACACCAGTGTCGAGCAAATAAACAATACAAAAATTTCAATTCAAACCAAAACGGCTGATTCACACATAAACACATATTTTACTTGAAATAAAATGTACGAGTAAAGTCTGTGTAACATTTTAAAATTTCGACAGTGATGCTACGCTCTCACAGATGCTCTTATTTACTCAAAAATTTGTTGGTGGAACGTATTTGTGTATACACAGTGTTACTCAAAGTTACTACGAGTAGCTCGTGGAACAGATTTAATATAAAATATTTTACTCGTAATCGATAGAACTTTATAGACATAAATAAATATATTTATGCAAATATTAACAAGTTGACGATCAATTCTTAAACAGAAAAATTAATTCTGTAGTAATAATAAAAATATTCGTTGAAATATTAATAAATTATTGCTTTTCCTAATATTAGGCTGTTTCTTTTGTAAGCATATCACAAAAGAACAACCGCCTATATTAAAAATAACATATCAAACAACAACACTGCTGGCTTATTAGTGTGACCTTTTTAAAATCGTTTAAATAATAAGCAAGTCAAATCGCATGGTTGCTGTTCGTGATTGGCTTTATATTTTTCTATTAAAATTTATTATTAATTTGGAATATTTTGTTTACTTATTTTTTGGTTACAGTTGGCAACCCTTTTTTATTATAAAATACTATGAAATTAAAAATAAAATTAGTCTCTTGTAAAAGTTCAAACGAGTCGGTCTTTCTTTAAAAACTTCGTTTTGTTTCCTAGTTTTGTTGTCGTTAGTGGTTTCAAAAACTCTTGAGGCCCCAACAGTTGCCAAAACTAAAAATTCGTCTATTGTGAACGATTTTTGAAAATGCGGACAAAATTTTCAGTTAGCTGTCAATGAATATTTCACAATTAATACTCAATTCGTCTTAATTTAGTACTTTTTTCTGTTAACATTGAAAAAGCCTGAAAATACGAATTTTATTCACGATAATGTAAAAAATAAAATATTTATACCAATAATTGCAAATAATTATTATTCATTTTCGAAATTTTAAGCCTAACAAAATTTCCATTTTGTCTAGAGTTGCCAATGGTGGTATTGCTTATTTTATTTGTACTTTTGCGATATACTTACAAAAGAAATTAATATTATTATTTTATAAAAACACAATTCAAAAAACTAGTTTAAAATATATAAATTTATAAATTATATACAATTTATAAATTACTTATAAGAATACAATATCAGATTTGCAATTGTTGCCTATTATCAAATTAAAGATTCATCCTAAACTAGATAGAGCAATTTGTACATTTCTAATTTCTTACTAAACACCACCCATTTTATACAACAAAATGCAACACTGCATAAAGTTAGCGTACGCTATTCTATTCAATGCTTTTGTTTGACTTTTAGTTTGCGCAAAAATCTTTATTCACGTGTACGTGCACAAAGTGCTCAAGAAAATTCTGAGTTATTGTAAGCAGTAATGAATTGAATGTAAGAGAAAATAAAAATTAATTGCTTATTGTGAAATAGTTTTATATTAATCTTGTGAAAGATTGCTAATAACAGCTGTAAAAATTGAAATAAATTTGCAAACGCTACGGCATTGTGGTACCGCAAGCCTTGCTACAAAGCGACAGCATTTCGCGTTGCTGTCTTTTTTTATTGTGTTGGCTGCTGCTGCTGCTACTGCTGCTGTGGCTCTCTAGTAAAGTACACATAAATAAAATCTACCTCAAGTGAAACTATTCTTTGTGCAATTAAATATGAAACAAGAAAATGATTTTAATTCGTAAACCTCGTTAATTAAATATATTTATTAAGTTTGGTGTACTCAACTAATACAATAACAGCCGTTTTCAAACAGTCAAATACATAAAAAGCGTGCAAAAAGGCGTGGGGATACACACAACGAAAAAATTATCGCCGCAATTTAGCGAATGCAAACAAAAAGCAATTAAAGTATTTATATAAATAAATCATATTAATTTGCAATCGATTTCAATACAACAAAAACTAATATTATTCTGTTCTGTTAATTTTAGTTTTTCCCGCCTTGAGGTTAACGCCGGTGTTAGAAATTCTGGATATTTAATCGATCGCAGCTGAATCGATTTTCCGCCAAAGAAGCGCATTATTGTGGAATTGTGAGCCAAAAGGGCTTATTGGAATAGATCATTACAAGTGTTCAAAATGGGAGCGTACCTATCGCAGCCTAAAACTGATAAAATATCAACTGATGAGGGAAATCAGTTGCTTGAAGTTGGTGCCAGTTCAATGCAGGGCTGGAGAAATAGCCAAGAGGTGAGCCATGGTAATTGTTTATAAAATATAAAGGAACTGGCTGCTGTGGCTACGAGTGAATCAGTTTAGTAGTGCCAGTTTGGAAAGGACATTTTTGTGCTAGAAAACAAATTGTTTTATATAGTATTTATTTATTTATTTTTTTGTTAACTTTAATTTAATATTTTAATGATTATTAGCTGTGCTGTCCACTTAGTTTAATATACCAAAATTGTCAATTATGTCAGCATTATTATATATGTCAACTTTATTATTCTATTATTCTTAACATTGTTTAACAATGTGTTATAGTTTTTAAATTGTACTAGTACTGACTAATATCTTTCACTTCTAATATTCCCAGTGATTGTATAAAATATATAAAGTGTGTTCACGATTTCGACTAAGAAGTTGGATGACCGAATAATATAATGATGGAGCAAAGTGGCAACAACAAAAACATGCTCGAAATATGTCTTGTTGGCGCTTTGCACTGCTACTATGTCAATCTGTCAACTTCCTCGTTACTCGAGATCGTCAATATAGTGCATTTCAATAGAGAAGGAGAAGATAATGCCTGCTCTTTCACTAGTAATGGTACTACCTCACAAGGATCTATATAGCAGATAACATGAAAAAAATTTCAAGGTTTTAACAACAACCGGATTTAGGTCTGGCAGCCACTGTTACTGTTATGAACGACACTTGGTCGTTGAAATTGTCGAATGGCTAAGGAACGTTAAGTCGAGTGTTTTTGGAGCCACGCGTTGAATTCGGCAACGAGAAAATGAGAAAAAATTACAAAGACTTATACTTGTGTTAGGATGTATATAAGTGATGGTAGTGCCAAAGGGAATAGGGTTATTTACTAGTAAGAATGGATTGGGAATTGGTAGCTTTTTAACTAGTAATTTGTTGTTATAGTCGAGCGATCTTTCTTAATGACTATACCACTAAAATCTATTCAAAAAGCTGAAAAATGCAACTAATGTCGGTAATCACTATTAATATAATAATATAATAACCCAAGATTCATTATTATATATTTGATATCAATAATCGATCCTAAATAGATACATATGTATTAATTAATTTATATATAAAATTATATATATTCATCATTTAATTTACTGTGTAAAATACTTTTTCTTTATTAAGAAATATTTTAATTTAATCTGTATCAATAATTTTTACAGGATGCTCATAATGCTATCTTGACTTTTGACAAAAATACTTCATTATTTGCGGTCTATGATGGACATGGCGGCGCAGAGGTTTCAACTTACTGTGCAGATAAGTTACCGCAATTTCTTAAAGATATTCAAACATATAAAGATGGTCAGTTTGAGCAAGCACTCAAGGATACCTTCTTGGGTTTCGACAAAACCTTGCTCGAGTCAGATGTAATAGACATTTTAAAAGTGCTAGCTGGAGAAAGGAATTTGGTAGATTGTCCAGAAAGTGATGGTAATGAGGACGATGATGATGGAGAAGATTTAGCAGAATTGCATGAAGAGAGCAATTTGCCGCTAAATGAAGTACTTGAAAAATATAAGGGAGGTCTAATGCCGTTACCTTCTTTTAAAAAGATAAAGGATGGTGCCGCAAGTGGTTCTAAACCACAGTCGCCATATCTAAGAGGTAGACGTGCAGCTGCAATTATAGCTGAAGCTGTTAATAAAGCTGTCATGGATCCAGACTCCAAACCATCTGGTTCATCTACTTCAGCTGCTGCGGCTGCTTCAATTGCTGCTGAAAAAGCAGCTAATGGTAAATATACTGAGCCTTAAATAATGACATTTCATGTATTCACTATGTCAACTTATTCAACTTATTTTAGATGCTGGGCCGAGTACATCGAAAACAGTAATAACTTCAAAAATGGAAACTGATGCAGAAGAAGATTCAACTGTTAGCAGCAGCAGCTCAAGTG